GGCAGAGATTATTTGAGAGTATCTTTATGCATGGTTTAACGGGATCAGTTAGGGTTCTAAAATGATTTAATGATTCTATAATCGATTTCCGTGCGATCTTACTATTTGATTGCTTTTAAGATTGCACATAGTGCATCTCATGGGAATCGACATCAATCATATATCGCTTTGGGTCTTCCTGCTTGGCTTCGAACCCTCATGGACGCAGACATTAGAAGACTAGCTTCGGCTTGATTCTACCCTCTGCTTCTCTTAAGTCTCATGATTGTTTTCGATTCCCCTCTTGCCTCCGTTTTTACTAAAACTATGTTTCGTATAATATATCTATTTGATAAAAAAAAAAAGACAAGGTCTAACCCAAGTGGGAGTTTTAATTAACACTATTCCTTATTAATATTTGTTATTGAGATAAGAATTTTGGACTTTTGCAATTATGGCCATTGGGTAATTAAAAAATGCGCACTTCTATCCATTTTGAGAATAAGCAAAAAGAAAAGGCATTGGCCTTATATCAATACTCATCCCCTCTTGCACCTGAAGACTTTAATTTGGAGGAATTTAGAGAGATTCCAGAAAAACCAAAAATACAAAACACTTTAGATTTCATTTTGATCGTTATTCCTCCAAATTATTTTTGTTTGATCGAATAATTTTTTTAATTTTTTCAACTTCAAAACTTTTATTTCCGTCGTTCAATAAATCATTGAACGTACAACAAGCTAGATCATATGTTTCTGATGCAAAAATCGCAATTTGAGTCTCTCTTCTTTGTTCTTTGATGGATAACATCAACTTTGAATTCTCAAACGCTTCAAACCGGCTACAGTCGCAGCCGCAACCGTCTCAACCGTTTAATCTACAAGACGTGAATATGATCCATTACAATCAATCATCATCTCCATGGACTACAGAAACATTCTCGGGTTTTAGTCCGTACGATTGCACAGCCAACCAATCATTTTCCGTACAATGTTCATCATCAAAACCCTATCCTTCCTCGTTACATCCGTACCATCATCAATCTTCGGAATGTCAATCATTAAACCAATCCGAATCGATGGTTCCTATGCAGCAACCTCTTCTTCCGGATCAATATTTAAAGCCGTTATATCAAAGATCATGTGCAAATGATTTCGCAGCGACAAATGCTTCATCAGCCTCATACTCTCTTTCTTTTGAAGCAAGTCAAGATCCACAAGTATGCCAAAAAAATCTCATATTTTTTTGGTCTTATTTTTTTGGTCTTATTTTTTATTAACAATGATGATTCTCCGCGGTTTGTAGGAACTATGTAGGAGGACATATAGTAATTCTAATGTAACACATCTGAATTTCTCATCATCACATAATCAACCTAAACAAAATCGTCCAAGATTTTCTTCTCCTCCTCCATTCTCAAACCATGGAGGATTGGTGACTCCTAACTGTGGGACGGTAATCGGGAACAAGACACGGATAAGATGGACTCAAGATCTTCATGAGAAGTTCGTGGAGTGCGTAAATCGCCTTGGTGGTGCTGATAGTAAGTTATTAGAACCATTAACAAGACTTTAACTTTAGAAGTAGAGGAATTAACCATTGGTTCTCAACCACTTGATCTAGTCACTTTGCATTAGCATATAAACTTATATTTAGGTATGCATATGAATCATGGATGGTCATATATAACCATAGCATACAAAAGTCATCTAAAGAAATTATAACGCTCTCATAAAACACTATGCGTGGATTGAAAAGTTTCTTCTTTTGAAGCAAATATGCGCATTATTTGGAAGATATAATTTGATATTTGTTTTAAGAATAAAAGTGTCCTTGTTTCTTTGGTGGGTCACTAAAAAGTGTAAGTGGTGGCAAACAATGCAGAGGCAACGCCTAAGGCGATATTGAAGCTAATGGATTCTGAAGGACTCACAATTTTTCATGTTAAAAGCCATTTACAGGTTAGATAACTTCTCTTTTTTATTTTTTTTTCCAAAGAAGATTTATTCAATTATTGGGTTAAAATTTCAGAAATATAGGATTGCAAAATACATCCCTGAGTCTCAAGAAGGTACACTAATAAATCTCTTCACTATAAGTTTTTTTTTTTATAAACTACATTGATAATTTGGGAATTATTAATGCAAATTGAAAGATTTTGTCTTACAGGCAAGTTTGAGAAGAGAGCTTGTGCTAAAGAGCTGTCTCAGCTTGACACAAAAACGTAA